TTTCCTGTATTTGTAAGTGCCCTAGACTTGTTCTAAGCAAGTCTAGGGGTGTGAGATGAGTTATTTTGTAAGTGTTGTTGTGTAAAGAGTTACAGGAGGAGCAAGGGCTGAGTGGAGCATTCTCAAGGTCAATTGAGGGAGCGAAATAAGTGTATTTGTGATTTGGAATTGTAGTTTTTAGAAACACATTTATATATTGAATCTATTTGTTTCAATGCATTCCGATGTTGTTTTATCCATATTTTCTGAGTAAATTTTCATGATTTTCCTTGTGGTGATGTAGTAGATATGTAGGAATGTGGATAACAAACTGAAGCAATTTTTATTCTAAAATTGTGATTATTTTCATTTTCACTTAGTTTACTTTTCAATTTGGCTAATTGATCTATTAAAATGTGTTGTAAATCCATAAGAACTCAAAAGAGCTACGACATGGAGAACTAGGAAAATCATGTTGAACTATAGGGTATGAATTAAAGTACAATGAAGAGAGATGCAAATAAAAAGGGAGATAGACTTCATTGGGTTTGAAATGAGACTTAAGAAATTAAGGTCACTTTAACCAAGCTTCTTTATACGCTCGAAAGAGGGTAAATAAGATTTATGCTTCTATTTGTCACAAAACTTTATCTTATTTCACATTTCTTCCACATCTACACTATATTATTATCACTGCAAGGAAAAGTAACCATAACACTTGACAAAACCAATTCACATTGTGCAGTTAAAAACTTTGTAGGTGTAACTTTAGATAATTGCAATAGGTTTGTTAGCAAAACTCGTGTACTTCAAAATTGCAAACTAAGAACAAATGAAGTAGACAATAACATTTTTCTACTTTGGTTTTCCATTGTTTCATGTGGGTTTGACATTCCATACTCTTTAAAGCTCTATATTATGAAAAGTGATATGTGCACTTGCGTTAGCAACCCCAGTATTTAGGATAAAATATGAATATGAAAATCTGAACAAGTAACTTGGTTAGTTTAAGCTTTTTAGCATTGTGTCGAGAGACTGAATTATTGTGTTAATTGTCGGGGTGTTGTCATTTGTATCAGTGGTTTCATCCGGATGGACATTTGAAACCTACTGACTGAGAAGATGAGGACATTCCTTTGGTCTTCGCCTTCTTGATCATGGAGAATCCTCTAAGTGAGAGATTCCCCACCTTATGCCGTGAAAAAAGAGGTGAGTGTCTTGCTACTTCATGCAATAAGGCATTAGTACACCTCTCCATCGCTCGCATACCCTTGGTTTCCCGTAAGATCTTTAGGATGAGTCTGATTTCGTCGTCAAGCACAACTGGGATATTTATTGCATGAATTTATTCACATTAATTTTTTTATGCTTGGCATGATTTTCTTAAAGCTTGCATAAAAAATATTGTATTTTCACATGCGTTGTTGATTGATCGCCCACTTATTCAGCACAATCGGTACATTTGCCTATTGATTAGATCGATCGACTATCACTGGTTTAATCTCATTAAATTGACTATCTTCAATCGATATGTCATCTACATCGGTCTGATCGACCACTTCCTCACAGTCCATGTATTCGTCATTAGGATATGCCCTCATATATTTGTGACGAATGCTTGCCAACTTTTGATCTTTCCTACTATGCCAGGACAATCACCGCACACTGGATCATCTTGCATTTGCATGTGCATCTCTGGTCATCTCAATGATAAGACTGGCTCATTAACTGAGTGACTCTCCGCTGGTCACGATGCAACATTTAGTATTGCATGCAAGGATGTCTAGGTTGGCAATACTAGTTATTGCGTCGTGGACCCACACGTGCATGTTGTGCTAAGGTTTCAAGGGGTCTAATAGATGTCAGTTTGGCTCTCTATTTCTTAGGAACTATTTTTAAAACATAAAAATTTACATATTTTTATTACTTATATGCATAATATTTTCAAAAAAATATATTTTGAAACTATTTGCATCTCTACTTTAGACCATACGTGAGGTCAACCTTTTAAAACTTAAGATTTTTCAAAACATGCATCTAGTGGCGCCTCTTATAATTCTTAAATCCTTAATACAAGGTCGGAGATGGTGTCCCCATCAAAACATGCACCAGCCTTTTGACATAACCCTAAACTCACTTAAATGTTGTGTTAAGACTCTACGTTAGATGGTGTGCTATGTAAGGACTGCAATGTTGGGTAGTCTCTTTTGATGTATTGATTATAGTTTTATGTTGGTTTGGTTACCCTTGTCACACATCACTTTTGTGTGCTTTTGTGCGTTTATTGGATGTGAGACATGCACACTAATATATTAGAGATGGTTTTCTTGCAAGGTGTCATGCATAAAACACACTTTTTTTCTATTGCATGGTGCTTGAAATTGGTTTTGCCCTTTTTATCTTGTGATTTGCAGAAGAATTGTCTGGATTGCTTAGGCTCTTTATGACTTAAAATTGTATAAACTTTCGATAAAAATTTAATAATAAAATTTTGAGACTAATTAAAATTTAGACTTAAATTATTCAGGATTTTCAAAATTTGTCTTTATTTTCCTGCATGGGCTTCAGGCAAAATTTTAAATAGGTTGCATTGCATGATTATATCCCTTGTCATACTAAAATAACCTTCATATTAGGACTTGATTATCTAACTGCATCATATTGCATGTCCCGATGAGAAGTTCCTATTCGTCTTCAACTTGACTGACCAAGCATAAGTTTTAAACTTAAGTGGTTGTTTAGCACGTTTAGGGTGTTAGAGACTTCCCGAACCTAGACAGGGAGTAAGTTCTCTGTGAGAGTATTCCAGCTTCATTAGTCGTACCTCTCGTTTCTTTCCACTTCAGCAACATCTTTGCCACTTTGGCAGGTATAAGTCCCACGTCTGCTCTTCCTACCTACATAGGGTTATATAATTAAAGTTTTCTTCTCTTGACCTTAGTACTGATGAGGTCCCCTTGGACGATGCAATTCCAAGATTATTGACAAGGGGCCTCTGGTTCTGCTGGCTCGACTGCTTTCGCGACTAGGTAAACTTAGGGTCTTAATAACTTAGGATGACGAATCCATGGTATCATAACTCAGCTATCACTACTCGATTAAGATCACTCCATCTTTCCTTTGTTATACCCTTTGAGCCCTGTTGCTTCTTTTGAAGCTTCGTCGATATCGACTCTTTGGCCCCTAATTGTGGATAGTCCACAATCCATTTGGGATACGATGATTTACCATCTACCCTCATGACTGTGTTAGGCTTTGGAACCATAGTGTGAACCTTATAAGTCGACTCAGTTATTTCGTAGGCACTGGTCACCGATAAGTCTCCATCTGTATGAGATCGTAAAAGATTCACTCTCTGCTTGTATGGCGCAAGCTTCGAAAGCATCGGGACGCTCCTGTGAGATAAACGTCCTTTGTGACATCCTTTACTAGTTGTTATACAAGTGTAAGCATGATTCTTTTATCTAGAGTATTTTTGGGCAGCCCTTAATATGTAATTAGCTAAAAGATATGTCCCTTTGGGAGTTTCTCTTGACCGCAAAACAAGTACACACTCTATATATAATATTTTTTTCTCATACAATACCAAATAGATACTAATTGCTTAGATCCCTAAAGATATATAATTTATCCCTTCTTTTTTTATAACTTTAACTATCTAATTAATACTATCTGTTTTTCTCTTGCAATTTAGTAGTTGATAAGGCTTCTCTTAACCTTTAGCTCATGAGCCCGACATGATAATTAAACTAGAGAAATCCCTCTTAATTCTTGTTCCCTAAAATTAGAGTGATTGGGGGAGAGAAACATACAAATTCATTCTTCCTCCATGCAAATCTAACATGTAAAACATCACATATTTCATTATTTTCATTAGATCATGTGTCTGTAGTTTCATTATTGGTGCCTTATTTCACGCCCAAGGCAAAAAATTATAAATACTGACTATTAAATATGAGTGCCTTAAAATTTATCCTGCACGTCAACTCAACCTAAACTCAACCAATAAGATTCGAGTTTGGGTTAACCCAAATAAATTCGAGGGTTGAATTCAGACTAAGAATTCTAACTCGCTGAGTTTTTGAGTCTATTTCAGATTTATCCGACCAAATTATTATGTAATAAAAAATACCTGATTTTAACTTTAAACAAAAAATGCATTTCATGCATAACTAGAATGATATGAGTGTAAAAAATACATAAACATTATGGGTATGTATGTAAATCTTTCTTATTTATTACATTAATCTAAAAATTATTGAAAGTCCATAATGAGAGGTTTTGCCAAAAGCGACGTGCCATGTGCCTTATTGGCCGACCGTGGATCCCCCCATAATTGCCATCATTCAAATCTGGCCATTCATTCGGGTCCATACAACAGTACCTTATCCTACACGCCATCATAATTCTGGCAGGGCGCAGTTTCATAAATATTTTATTAAAATTTATCAGATTTTTACATTCTAATCATTTAAAACATTAAATATAAATTTTAAACAATTATAACTTTTATAACATTTTAATAATTTTTTAAAATTTCAGTCATTTTTTACATGAAAATATTTTATCTAGACATTACGAGTTCAAAAAAAAATATTAACTCAGGAGTACTGATGCATCAATACTCCAATGAAGAGATGATACGTATGCAATGGTCTCACTATAATGTCACGTGACACCTTCTCATTGGATTACTGATACATCCTCATTGGATTACTGATGCATCAGTACTCCTGAGGTAATATTTTTTCCAAGTTCAGATAGTCAATCACCGCCAATCACGTCGCCATACACTTTATCGACAGCCGTCCGCACTTCCAAATATAATATTTATTCCTGTTTTACGCACTACTAAATAATGAGTTAAAGTTTTGAGTAATTAAAGTGTAATATTTAAATTTAAATTATTAATATATTATATTTAATATTTTATATGATTGGTGCTTAAAATCCCCTAAAAATTATATTTTACACTTCAAAAATTTGAGTATAATGTATGTAATTACAAAAACGTAGGCGGCTACAAAGATGTAAATATATAACATTTCTGTGGCATATATGTAAAACCCCTTTTCTTTAATCATATACGATACTTAGGAATAATACCAGCACATAACGGTAACTTGAACATGAAACCAGACAAAAGAAAAATTACAAAGGAGCTTTATTCTTTAGAAATCTCACACCCTCTAGTAATTCACTTTGTGGAAGGAGATGAGCTGGCGGAACTTCTTCCACGGTTGATCCCACACGACGGCCTCATACTTCGCCGGACCGCCGCCGCCGCCGGCCTCGACGATGAGGCGATACTTCGTGCCGGCAACCACCTGGCTCTCGCCGCTTACCACGCGGCTGAGTTTCAAAACACCATTGGTCTTCTCGTTGTTCTCTGCCACAGCGAATCTCGCGATCTCCTGCACGTGCGGATCAGATAGGTTATCGATCGGCTCCCAAGCGCCCACCATCGGCGAGCCCCGCGGGGGAGCCACGAGCGCCGGTGGTGGAGGATAGAGCGGCGGCGAGGAGGAAGGCGAGGAGGAAGAGAAGGGATCGCATTTTTGCTTTCTGGGGTGGGGATTTGGGGAGGGGGGTTAGGTTTTTAATGGGAGGGGAAGTCGGTTTAATCATGGAAACAAGGGGCGTGTTTTGGGACCGTGGTGCTTGAATCGTGACCGTTGGATGGTGATGCCGATCACGTGATGTGTATTCATTAATTTATAGATATTTTAGGATTAGTAAATTTAATTAATGAAAATGTTATATATTAAGTAGTTATGGTATATGTTATTTTTAAGGGTCTATTTTGTTTGCTAAAAATAAAAATAAAATAAAATATTTATATGGCCCTATGATAACAATATACATTTGAAGTACTTTCAAATAACTGTGTCAAAAACTGACCCGATACGTCAATACGATTAGAATTCGAGTTATGATTGACCAGAAAAAAGTGTTATCATTTGAAGTCATTTCATTATTATAATGACAGTAACAATGTTATCACAATCTAAACAAATAATTGGATATGTGATCAATAATGTGTAAATAATAATTTCAAACACTAAATAATAAATATGTTAAGATCATTCACATAAATTTATTATAGTGGGCACTTATTAATATCAATGAATGCAAATGTATGGCTACAATTACTCAAATCATTTGCCCACATATGCAATTAAAACAATTAATTTCACAAGAACTTTCAACCCAAGAATTTTAACATCATTGATTGTTTTATAATAGATTTTTTTAGCTATCTCCATTGTGTTTTCTTTAGCAATATAAATCAACTCTTATAATTATTTTTGATTAGTTTAACTTTCTATTATAAATTTTCTTCATAATAATCCATTTAATATGGTTATGTAGGCTAACAATTGATTCCCATATACCCTAGTTAATTCAATAATTCAATGATTCTATCACACTATGTATATTATATTATTTTTTCATATACATTGGTAAATGATTGTTGGACAATTAGTTTGTTTTGCATCAAAAAACATGATAGTGCACACATGTGAAATTAACCATGACAAAGTTATAATTTTTGGATTAATGATAGTACATCAAAAACAGATTTTTTTTTTATATGATTTTAAAGTTAGTCGATCAATATCATAACCTTATAATTCAACAAAATAGAAAAAATATTAACATATTTTTTTTTTATTCAGATGTAAACACAATAAATCTATAATGAAATATTCTTATTATTATTTAAGGAGTTTATGTATAATATTTTTTTGAATACTTTTATTTCAAGTGATCAACATTAAGTCATATAATGCCTACGAGCAACCCACAACAACCAATGTAGACTTTGAAGCAAGCACAAAATATCTTGAAGAAATTGTAATTTTTTTCAAAATGTATGTAAGTATGAGAGCTAGGGTTTGTATTAATGAGCTCTACTCTTAATGTAGGAACCCACTTACAATTATTATCAACTAATTAGAAAGGAAGGCACATGCTTACTCTCCTAAGTGCCATTACTTTATATTTAGAGGGTAATTAGATATTTATAAACCAATAAAAGTGTTATCATTTGCACCTTGGTTACTAAAATGCCCATCCTTGTTAATACTATTGTCGATATTGTTAGAATTTGAACGGTAAAACTTAGATATGTGTGAAAACTCCATATATGCTATTATTGCAATTTCTAACCATAGATCAATCAAAAGCTAAAACTTGTGACAACAAATTCAAACATGAGTGTCTATATAAATGGTAAAATAGCATAGTTCCAACAGTTATGAAAAACAATCTAACATGATACTCTAAGAATAATAAAGATGGCAAGTTGCAAAGCAAAGTAACATTTCTATCTACACATTTAAATATCCACTACTCTCATGCAATTAAAAATGAAGAAAAATGTATTAATTTTGAGGATAAGCATCATATATATATATATTCAAACAAGGGGAGCACTTGAACTTATTTTTTCGGATTATTTATTTTATTCCCAACCAATATGCTATAAATTCAATCATTTTGATACTTTTTGCCAACCATTTAATAAAATCTAGACAAAATTAAAATGACAGAAACATAATGTGCGTAAAATATATGGAAATCAAAATCTCTTATAAATGTCATTAAGGGTGCTTTTTGGGCGGCGGTACATTGGCAGTGCGATGTCACACTGTAGCTTTTTCTGTTTGATAAAACTTTATTTTGCCATTTTTTGAAAATGCTACAGCTGAAAACTATGTTTTGCCATCAATCTTGACTACTTTTGCAGGCTGGCGTAGGCTGCTAAAAAGCTGCGGCATGATTTATTAAAAATTTTTATTCTTTTGTAATAGACATCATAACTTTTGAACAACAGTTTTTCCTGCTGCAGCTTTACAACTACTCTTATAAACAACTACCGCAATCTCAAACAAACTCTAAATATTTGTTATGATTCAATGCTGAATTGAAGTTTAAAAAAAACAAGCTATATAAATAATCGGTTCAATTTCTCTTAAATTATATTTTATTTTGACAAAGCAAGAAATTTAAATCTTTATTTTATAATATATTTTTAGTTTCATTATTTCCAATTTTCTAATTAAGAAAAAATTACTTTTGATATTAGTTTTTTTTTTTTTTTGAGGTGAAATTCCCAAATATGTTTCACTTCAAACATTCCGAAGCAGCAGAAAAAAAAAACCGCTTCTTTGGCCTTCCTCGGCTTGCAATGGCGTCATCTCTTTCCCGACACCTTCACTCCCCAGCACACTCTGCTAGGTTTCCGCCACCTCCCACCGATTACCTCCAGCTTTCTCTGATCTCCCTCCCTCAAATTCTCTCCGCAAACACTCAGCCCAACCCACTCTCTCTGTTCACTCACCTCTCTCTTTCATCCCACTCCTCTTCCTATAATCTAATTAATCGTCGCAGAAGACCGTCGCGATGTACTTTTCTCCATCTGGATTCCTTGGATTTGGACGCGAAAGGCAATTTTGATGAGGTTGGAGAAGAGGGAGAGTTATCGGAGTTAGATTTGTCTGAACTTGACGAAGAGGCGCGCCGTGCCGCCAGGAAGCATTCCATGTTCTTGTCTCAGGAACTTAAATTAGGTATGTTTTCCAATAGCTTTTTGATACCGAACTAGGGCTGTCAAAAAAGCTCGTTGTTCACGAACAGTTCACGTTCGGTTTGCTAATGAGTTCGTGTTAGATTCGTTCGATAAGTAAACGAAACGAACGTGAATAATTTTTTTTGTTCGGTTAGTTAACTGAACCAAACATGAACAGTAGTGCGTTAATAAAAAATTATCACATTTTAAAAAATTAAATTATATAAATTATAATATATAATAAAATAATAATAATAATATATTAATATACTATATCATTAATATATTAATATAGATATTATATATTTATATAATATAAGTTATATAATTAATATAATATATTATTTATATATATATTAATATTAGAAATGTCAATCTGACTCGTCGTTCGCGAACAGCTCGTGTTCGGTTCGTTCGTTAAAAAATGAACACGAACAGTGACTTCACGAACAATTTCGAATACGAGCTTATTTCAAACAAACCAAATTTCAAACGAACCGAGCACGAACACAAGCTCTGTTCGTTCGTGTTCGGTTCGTTTACACCCCTATACCGAACACAGCCGTAGGAAATGTTCATTAATTTTTCATGAAGTTGATGCTGTTGGTCTACATAGTTTTCGACGGGATTATTGAATCGTTATGTTCCCATCCACTCCATATACTGGCAAAAGATAAACATAAACTCCATTAGCAAAATAATTGGCAAAAGATGTCACATGGGTGGCATCTGTAATATCATAGAATTACATAGCATTGTTTGATGAATTAACTATGCCATCAGTGTGCATGGTCCTTATTTGACATATTTGGTTCTTATAGAGGATGAAACCTATGAAGAGAAGGGGGAGAGGTTGCAGAGGAAGAGAACTTTGAATATACACGTGAGTTTTCTTCTATTTTTGTGGGCATTTACATATATACCATAAAATTCTTATGCATTTACATATCTAACAGACTAACACTGAAATTCTACCTTTTTACATTTATACTATCCAAAATTTTCATATAAATTTAAAACCACCATTTTAACTTTTAAAATGTGAAATAAACCTTTCCATGCTTAGATAAGGTAGTGTGTATGTAAAAATTAAAGTTTAGGTGCTAGATACGTAAATACATTAGAATTGAGTGGTATGCATGTAAATCTTCCTTCTCTATTTTTTTTTGTCTCACTTTATGTTGTCCATTCCACATTGTTGTTCCATGGAATGGGAGCATAATTTGTGGAATTGTGGTTTATATGGAGTAATGCTGCAATTAGGGCTCTAAATGATCCAATGCACTCGATTAACATCTCAAATTCGGCTTGATTAAGACTCAATCATTTTCGTTCAAATTGGTAAATAAACAAGCTTAAATAATTTTTAAAAGCTCGGAGCTTAAATGAACTAAGCATGAGCAAGTTGGACTTGTTCATTTTTGTTCACGAACAGACTCGTTGTTGTTCAATAAGTAATTTATTAAATACTCGTTATTAAACTCGATCATAATTTGTATCATATATGATATATTATTTAAATAAAATTTAATTAGTTAGAATTTAATTAATTATAAATTTAATAGTAATATATTATGATATCAATAATATTATTTGATCAATTATTAATTATATATTTATCTCATTAATATATAATTATTTTATTATAGTTTAGGTGCTAGATGTGAAAATACACAAGTCTCTTGTGGTATGTATGAAATGCCCCTTAAAATGAACTTTAAACTCCCGCAAAACTCACTTTTCCTCTGACCTCTTAAAATTTCGCGTCTCCCGTTTTCCCTCAAAACATAAAAAATCCTTGAGTTGTTAGGGCGTGCAAGCATCGATGGCAATGGCAGGATTGTGGTGAGTAAGGATAGCTGAAACTCTAGTCTCTTGTATGTCTCTCATTTCTACCATGCTCATAAATCCTACTTGATTAAAAGAGTGTTGAAAAAGTGCAGTGCAATAATTGTAAGTTATATATGATTAAAAATAAGGATGATGCAACAACTCAATTTAAAAAACATCTATAAAATTATCCAAAAAAACTAACAAAAGAACAAGTGCATATTACTATGGGAAAACCAACACCTACATTTGAATGAGAGTTGGGTGCAAGCTTGAAAGCTTGATCATGCTAAACTATGAGAGATTGCATCACATATGATCATGGTTCATGAGTTAACTTTCATTTTACAGAGTTCATAATCGATAAATTAGTAGGTGTGATTAGATTTGTAAAATTATTTAATGAAATTTTTATATGAAAATATAGATACTCGTTTGAATTTTTAGCTCGTCTATTAGCATGTTTAAATACTTGTTCACTTGTTATAAACAAATAAAGTATAAATCAAGTTCAAACATGGAAAAATTTAAACAAGAGCTTGAACAATATATTCAAGCTTAACACAAGCTCAAGCTGAACATGAACAACTTATAATTATACTAAGCCAAGTCCGAAATATGATATACTCGACTCAACTCAGCTCGATAACAACCCTAGCTTCAATTAAACATAGCTCAGTTATTGGTTTTGTAGAAGAGTCGATTTTGTTGATATCCTTTGCATCCTTTCCAACAGTTCATACTTGTTTAATGAGTCCTGTCTACAGACGAATCTCTAAACCAAGATCTTTTGCTTATGGAATTGCTGTAAGATTAGTTAACAAAATGATGCAGTTTTCTTTCTCAACAAACACGAGAAAATAAAGCAGCATAAACATGCTGGGGTGTGGTTAAGCAATCTTACTTTAAGTTGAAGAACTGTTTTCCAAGTTTTTTTCTATTCTGATAATCTGTGATCATTATTTTATAATAATAACCTCACCTTGTACTAATTATGTGTTTATATTTGATTAGATCCCTGATCATCTTCTCCCAAAGGTAGCAATAGTTGGAAGACCAAATGTTGGTAAATCAGCATTATTTAATCGCCTTGTTGGGGTACTATTTTGGTTATTTCTCTTAAATCCATCTATTACTCCATGCTAATGCAATGTAAATCATGTAATATTTGAAATTATTCAGGGGAATATGGCTATTGTTGTTGATGAACCTGGTGTTACTAGAGATCGTCTTTATGGTAGATCTTTTTGGGGAGACCGTGAATTTTTGGTAATAGATACTGGTGGTGTCATGATCCTTTCAAGGTCACATAATGAAGTCATGAAGGAACTCGACATTACTACAACTATTGGCATGGAAGGGATTCCTCTTGCTCTTAGGGAAGCCGCTGTTGCAAGGATGCCTTCCATGATCGAGAAACAAGCTGCTGCTGCTTTGGAGGAAGCATCTGTTATTATATTTCTCGTAGATGGACAGGTATAGATTTTATTTATAAGTTTAGAATTTCTTTTGAATAAATTGGTACAGGTTGTCTTTTATTATGCATTGACATTCAACTGAAAATCAGTTATAGGTGACTGAAGTTTATGAACTGAAAATACTAGTTTTTAAATTCAACTCAGGAGAAGTGGTTAGGTTTCCTTAGGTGACCCAGAGGACATGGATCTGAATATGAAACTTACATATTTATCATTTCTATCCGCCATTTTTTTTACTTTTGTTAAGAAGAATCATGTAGATTGTATTTATAGTGCTTTCTGTTCTTTCTCTAATAACAATGGTATATTTTAACAGGCAGGGCTAACTGTGGCTGATGAAGATATTGCAGATTGGCTGCGTAAGAGCTATTCCACCAAGCCTATCATCCTTGCCGTTAATAAGTGTGAATCTCCCCGAAAGGGTCTAATGCAAGCGTCAGAGTTTTGGTCCTTGGGGTAAGCCATCTATTAACCCAATAACATAATGTTTCTCTAACAAGGGACATTTTGCCTATATCAAAATATGTTTTCTTATAAGCTACTTTTTGTGTTCTTATTTTCATGAGGGTCTATAATGGCTTGTATTATTAGATATAGATGCAAGAAAGCTTAATTTTTTCTCCATTGAAGGCAGCTAGAGAAACTTGTAAGTAATGCACCATCTCCAGTCAATATAACATGAGTAAATGTGAAAACAAATAGAGGAGAAATCTCTATTCGATTCATTTAAATTATTGCTTGTTTATTTTTGCTTCTTAGGATCTTAACTGTTATTGTAATGTTACAATTAAAATACACGAAGATAGAAGTTTTTTCAATTTAAGGGAAATCAACATGTTTATTCTATCCCCAAATTTATATCTAAAATCTGATGTTTTTCAATTTTATTGCCAGGTTTACTCCTCTGCCGATATCAGCTATTTCAGGCACTGGAACAGGTGATCTTCTTGAGCTTGTTTGCTCAGAGCTGCAAACAATTGAGGTACAATGTCAGATATAGAATATTTCCTCCTGCTTATGTGTTTTCAGCAGCGTCCTTGCTGGTAAACTTTGACAATATATATCATGATAGTTTTGAAGGTGCAAATATATTTTGTTTGTTTACATAGGTATTCCTGTTCTTTACATGGTGGAGCATTTTCGCTCATTAGTTTATGAAGGGTTCAAATTGTTTGCACTTTTTCCCTTGTAACTCCATTCCAAGGTTATCAATGCACAGTTAGGAATATGAAAGCTAGTAGTGTTTATTGTGTAGATGTTTAATGCTGGAAAGGCACTTGAATTAATCACATATTTCATCATATTTATACAAAACTAGACAGAACAAGAAATGTCTAACATAATATGATGGATTAATCAAGATATTTAATGGTTATTATAAACAGAAGAATACCAACAAGTTGAATTCCAAATTTGGTCATTATTAGTCTTCCTAGAGAACCATTTACAACTACACTACTTATTTACACATATTCGATCCAAAATTACAATAAAACAATATAGAAATTATGACATATATCTACTTGATACCCCCAATGATGCTTATTGTTCAGAAAGTATCAAAGTTTCCACAAGACACTAATGATGTCATCGTGTCAAGACTTTCTTAATATGTGGATAGATAAATAATACTGAGAGTCAAGCTTCCCGGTTTGAATGAAAATCTATTTAAATATTGTTGAGAAAAATGGGCGAAGAAAAACAAGAGCGACACAAATCCAGAAGAACACAGAGATTTAACGAGGTTCGACAAAGATGCCTACATCCTCGGGAGCAGAGCGGTGAGTTCCTTTTTTTATTCAGAAAAAGGGTTTACAGAATAGAGGATCCAGCTCTCTCAGAAGCTACCAGTTGTTGTTCTAAATCCATCTGCACTGCATCTGAACTGGAACTGTTCCCTGACACCTTATCTTGATTCTGTTGTAACATAAACTGCTCATAAAAAACTGCATCTCTGCTAATCACCATCTTCTTTGCAATCGGATCCCAAAACTTGTATCCTTTCACACCTTTCTTGTAGCCCAGAAAGATGCGGTGGTTTTTGCATCAAGTGTAGATCTTTCATCTCCAGGTACATGCACATAAGCAGGATATCCAAAAATTCTTAAATGCTGTTGAGAAAATTAGGGCGAAGAAAAATAGTAATCGACACAAATCCAGAAGAACACAAAGATTTAACGATGTTCGGCAAAGATGCCTACGTCCTCGGGAGCAGAGTGACCAGTTCCTTTCAATATTCAGAAAAGAGGTTACAAAATTCATGGATACCTCCTGGGGTTACTAACATGCCTATTTATAACCTCAAGAGTAAACCCTAGGCACAATATGTAATTACTACATTATCCCTGTACCATACCGTAGGGCTTTTCCCCCGCACCCCAACCCACGTAACTTCCCAATTTGGACAGATTCTTCCGCTCTGCTCCGCTCCTTTTCTATCCAGCGTCTGTCCCTATATGGTATATGAGTCATACCATAACAAATCTCCACCTTGACGAATATCTAGCCCTTTAGGAGAAAAGATACCTGAGAGTTACACTTGCACCAATGTGGGTTGGGCCACCATGCTTCTGCTGCGCCCACGCTGATGTCAACCCACTAAATTCCCTTTTTACTAGAGGAATATTCCATCTTTGGCTCCGGTGAAGGCTGCTTCCAAAGGAATTTCTTCCGCTTGCTTGATTGGAAAGGGAATTGAAGTCTGCTGCATTGGAAAGGGAAGTAAAAGTATTTAATTAAGGGAAGCTTAATTAAATAAATTTAATTAAGTAAAATTCCTTAATTAATTAAGGGAAAATATTTTCTCTTTCAAAAAAAGAAAAAACAAATAAATAAATAAATAAATTTTTTTTCTTCTTTTCTTCTTTCATTTAAAAAAAAAAGGAGGTCTAAGCAAGGATTTTTGCAGAGAAATTTTTTGCAGAAAAGTTTTGTTGCAGGATCAAAATTGTTCGCAAGGCGGACGGGCTCGCGGGAATGAACATGTGCGAAACAGTTCGGATACGGCAAGGGCTGCGGTAGTTCGACGAGTTATGCTTCGAGGAGTTCGCGGTAGAGGCAGCATCGCGACAGTTCATAAACCTTTGCGGCATCAGGCGAGGGGGAGTTAGTGAACATAAGTTTATGTGCAGTTACTGCGAACAGGAGCATTTGCGAACAGAAGAGTTTGGTGATGTTCGACCAGCGGAGTTCGCAGCTTTGTCGCAGGAATTGCGGCATGTGTAGTTGCAGTGGAGTTCGCAGGTTTGTCGCAGGAGTTGCGGCATGTGCA